TTAAGGTTTTAAGTGAAGTGGTGTTTATAAGACAAAAATTGTAATGCCCCAAATAATAAGTGAAACAGGTTATGAGAAGTGAGGCAGTAATAAATGTTAACTCAATACGTTCAGAGAATTTATCCTATACCTCTTTAAACGACATTCTCTTTTTAAAGCAGCTTTACTATTACAACATCATTGTCTACTAATTATTGCTTCTATTCAGAGATGAAGGAAATACAGTCAAGTGCAACTCAATACGTTCAGAGAATTTCTAAAGGTCATGACAGGATAATGTTACTTACATATAACAGCATATCTTTGCTAACCCAACAACATTGGTGCAACAGAATTTGACATTACAAGCTCATGAAATGGTTCAAAAACGACTTTAGGTACCCTAGAGCCTATCCTACATGTCTAACTCAATTGAGTACTTCAGGACATATACATGTAGAAGTAATATGATTTAATGTTGTAATTGAGATATCATTTGTGACAATTCTACAAGGACGCAGGTCTTCATATGTCTATGTCCTTTGAACTCAACTGAGTGTTGATGAACTTCAACTTTGTAACACAAACTGCCTGCTTTGGCTGTAACAGGGCAGCCATCAACAAAAATGGATCACCATATCAGCTAACAGTCCATGTTCCCTGCAACAAAAATAACCATGCATTATCAACATGTATAAATCATTGTATTCTCAACATAACAGGTATCCTAAAACCCGAAATAATACATACATAATTGAATAAAAACAGACATGGTACCCATATGCTTTACCAGATATCCATACATCTGACATGGGAATGATTGTGTATCTCCAAAAAAACCCAATGCATGTTGCCTCTGTCCTAATCTTGGGTTGGCAGCAAATGCAACTGTGTTGTGACTGACTTCCAAAAAGGTTACATCATAATAAAATTTGCATCACACATGATTACATATATAAATCATTCACCATAAATGATTCAAAACAACCCCATATAATCAGGAGGTCTCCAAAAAGTTTACTGCACACTAGCTTAACATTTACTAAGTAAAGATGCCACCACAAACTGTCTTTCTTTCTCACCTCCTTCCAGGAAAATTTCCATGATGGTGGGATCCTTGTGTATTATCATTGCAAGGTTTACCCTCTGTTCAACTGTAAGCACCTCAAATTTTTTCAATTCGTGTACTACAGATGTTTTTTTGCTATTACCCTCAGTTTGATTTTCAAAGCACTTAATCAACCTTTCAATTTTGTCATTGGTGCTTTTATAATCCTTACCAAGATCCTTAATTGCAAAGGATACCTCACTAGCCAAAGCTTCATCATTCCTCCCTCTCTTCTTGCCTTTTTTTGCAACACAGATTGACAGAGGCAAAGTCTGAGTGGCTTCTTGCTCATTTGTGTCGGGTAGTGGTGGTGACCAATGAGGGTTTGTGCCATTCTCTTCAAATACATTATAAATCTCATCCATAGCAGTCCCACTTTCACCAACTCCATATCCTTCATTGTCCATTGCTTCAACAGCATCCTCTGGACCCTCAGCATGCTCTCCATTAGCCATGTCCTTCCCAAAAATTGGTCCTAAAGCATCATAGTGTGGGAAGGGTTTTTTGTAAAGACCTTTTGCATTTGGATGATGCTGCAAGGATAACATTGAGAGACAGGTTAAACAAGAAAAATATAATTAAAACATAAAAGACATAAACCGGTGATGAAGTTTACTGAGATATTATCTGTAACACCCTCCCTTGTATGCATCCAAGAGAGTTGTTTGCTAAGCGGAATTAGAGTTTTTGACGTCATTACTTTGATACTGAAAGATCATTTTGATGTTGCTAATTAAAACTTATAATTGAAATCGAGTCACTTACTAAAATCAGAGTGCACTTTCAAAATTTCTTAACTTGTTGAAAATATTATTTTCCTGGCAGACGTTGTTGTCTTGCAAAATTCGTATAAAATCCAGTTTTCAAAATTCCCTTGTAACGTTTATATAATCTGGAAATAGACACGTGGGGCTTCGCGTGCATATAAAATATAAGCGAATTGGAGGTCTGTAGCCCCACTAAATATCACTCGTAAAGTGACCGTTAAATCTGTTTCGAAAATCAGCATTCAAAAATCTCAGAAATTATTTTCGCAAAACGTTTTAGGAATTTTTTTTTCAAAATACTTGCTGATCACAAAAGTCTTAAATACAGTAATAAAATCATAATTCAGCAGTAAGCCAAACTACTCAATTTAATATAGTCATCCATCAAACAAACAGCAACAACAATAGTCCATACAGCAGCACATAACAGCACAGATCCATATAATCATGTCTTCCATTACTCTTCCGTCCTCCTGCCATTTTGTAAAAATAGCAGCCCCAAAGGGGTGAGAAAAATCTCAATAGTGTGGCAACAAAACCAGTAATGCAACAATATTAAACTAGGCACAAAATTATAAACAGTCGCTTCGAACATTAAATCCTTTTCATCATATATCCTTTTCATCATGTATCATATTGTATATATATATATATATCGCCTTCTTCACGCTCATGGCACCGTCGTGCGCGTGCATACACAGTGGAAATTCCATGCATGGCACCATCATTTGGGGAATTCCACTGTGGCCTATGCGGACTGACGCCAACTGTCCCAGTACCCCGATATCAAGGGATGCCTATATGATGCGTGCTCAATCACATGGTCCTATATATATAACTATTCTAAGACTCAAGACTAACATGAATTTGGTACATGCATGCCATGCTATGTTGTCACACACAAACAGAAAGACAAGTGCGGTATGATGTACGGTGCATGCATATATCATCATTTCATAACATATACTTCATGTACATTGGATGCCATACTGCCAAGCCATTCTTTCTTTTCATAACAAAATTTCCATAATCATAACATTTCCATAGGCAGAATAATTTCATCATTTATGGCAGAATAATCATAAGGCACATGTGAGCAACAATTCACAATTCATACACTAGTTAATAGTTACATCAGGTAATACCGCCTACACATACCTTGTGTCCACGCAATAATCAACGGCACCAAAACCAGCCCACACTTTAATAATTATGCGCACCTAATCAATGGTACAATAAGTTAGAGCTTTATTCCTATTACCTCTTATTTATAAGAAATTCCCATGCCTCTTTATTCTTGTGTTTCATTTGATTTACCATGCTTCTTGTGATCACCAATTTCTGCCTTCCCATTAATTCATTACATATTATCATAACAAAATCCTAAGTCCCCAACACATACCAATTCGTTTTTTTTTTCAAGTTCTTATAATAAACACATTTTCTGCCATAGAGTTAATTTACTAGTTGTCCTTAATTGACAAAATCCAAATTACTTACACATGCCTGAGAATTCGGTTTTAACATGCTTTCTCACTTAGATTCAATTTCTGACTTGGTTTAGCTTTACCAATCGCTAACAAAATTTTACCACTTCTTAAGCATACAATTTTGGCTTTGGCTAATAACTAAGAATTCCTAATTAGACATTCATCTAACCTTTCTACAAGTCCTACGGTGTGCTAGGGGAAACCCAAAAACATGATGCGACCGTTCATCAAAACATATGCTAGGCCTAATTAATTTTCTGACTTCCCTCTACTTAATCAATTTGTCAACAACAATTAAAAATCCAAGATTTAATTAGCATACAGGTTCGGTTCTGCTCACTAATTAGGTGTCACTCATTTATAATATAAATATCCATGTTGACAAGGTTTAGAGGGTGTCATTGAAGCACACAACATGCGGTCTCTATAGTTATTTATCATATGCAAGTTAGACAAAACATTAGTCTACAAACAGTCCTACCATTTCTGCTACGTTCCAGGCCCCAAAATCACTTCTCAAAACATGCATACACCAAAGGCCCAAAAGTTTCATGGCTGTTTATATGAACAACAATAAGGAGAGCATGACACTAAAATTTTTACATCTAATACCACTCATGCAGAAACAGAACAGTAAGGGAAATTGACTAGAGCCTCGGTCCTTACCTCCTAGAAGATACTTCCATGTACTCCGTTCAGCCAAGGGGATAATTATTACATTTGTGCTTACTTCCTAATGCTCCTATTCTCCAAGGTCGACATCCTCAGCTATATGCAATGGGGAGACTCCTTTAGACATTGAAAAAAGCAAAATAAGACAAAGGGGTAAAGAAAACATCCCACCCTCATGAATTGATTTATACAGCGCACAAGAGGAGCAGAAGAACAATGCTCCTTGCTGGTGGGTACTCAGCCAAAGGGGAAGGAATGACCATGGGACTTAAGTGATAATTTTTTTCCTCTCAAGAAACTCACGGCCTTGGTTGAGCTGTAGAAGGGGATGAAACGGCATGCAGACTAGGCAGTGGGGCTTCTACCGACGGTGCGGAGAGAAAACAGATTCAGCTTGGTGTTTGGAGCATGTTTTGGATTCTGCTTCTATGAACTTACGGTTCTTGGTTTGACTTGTTAATGTGACTTGCAAAGAGAGAAGAGAGAATCAAAGGTTGATAAGCATTCTGAATTGATAGCCAATGCCACAGCCTATGTCTCTCATTAGCGCACAAGTCGGATGGTTAGGATAAGGGAGTGGTTTTCAACCAATAGGAATTCATGCATTTTGAGTGGGCCAATAGGGAGCATACACTTAGATTTCCTTAAGATAATAAAATGAATGGGTTATAGTTTTGGGCCACTTCAAGCCTTCTCCTAATGTCTTTTGGTAGAACCCTAAAGGTTAATTGGATCTAATTTTCCTTCTTAATAATCCATGATTCAAATATTTTCATGACTCCCTATTTCTTCTAAGTGCCAATTAAATTTTATATTAAAATTAACTTATCCTATCCTCTTAACTAGTACTTCACTTTCCTAAAATACTTACTCGCTCGGAGGTCATTTGCTCCTTGAAACGTAACTCGGAAATTGACCGTAAACTGTTAAAAATTCAGCATTTAGAAAAATTCCTTTTCGCAAAACGCTTTCAGATTTGCTTAAAGTAGCCGCTGTTTGTAGAAGGCTTAAAGCAGAAAGAAATAGTAGTTTTACAGTCATCCAAAAATCATCAAGTACTAAATAATACAGTCATCCAAAGCTTGAAGCAGTCAACAGAGAATAGTTCCAATTAGCAGCAAAATACAGCAAAACTCAAACATCCAAGTCCTTAAATGCTCTTACGTCCTCCTGCAATTTAAAAATTGCAACCCCAAAGGGGTGAGAATAATCCCAGTAGTGTGGCAACAAAACCAATAATGCAACAATATTAAACTAGGCACAAAATTATAAATAGTCGCTTCGAACATTAAATCCTTTTCATCATGTATCATATTGCATATATATCTATCGCCTTCTTCACGCTCATGGCACCATCGTGCGCGTGTATACACAGTGGAAATTCCATGCATGGCACCATCATTTGGGGAATTCCACTGTGGCCTATGCGGACTGACGCCAACTGTCCCAGTACCCCGATATCAAGGGATGCATATATGATGCATGCTCATACACATGATCCTGGATATAACTATTCTACATTTCAAAGCCTACATGAATCTATTGTATACATGCCATGAAATGCGGTCACACACCAAATAGAAAAATGCATCATGATGTAAAAATGCATGCACATATCATTATCATCATTTCATATTCTTACCATTGTCATATCATCATCATAAAATAACATTGAACATATGTGAGCAACACATCACAATCTCATACACTAGCTAATAGTCACATTAGGTAATACCACCTAACACATACCTCACACGTCACAATAATTTACCGGGAAGCAGCAGAAAGTCCACCACCTTACGAAAAGTGCGCACTTAAATACAAGGTTTGCGAAGTCAGAATTTTTCGCTACAATTTCTTACGTATAGCATGTATTTTTAGCTTATTTCTCCTTAAATTCCTTCTCGGTTTGTAGGACATTTTTCCTAATCATATACAGACTCCTTAATAACCTCTTAGACGCTTAAGAGTGAGTAATTCCGTGACTTTTAATCCCACACAGCAGCGGTTTTATAAAGGAGAATTCCTCAAGGTTCCAATCATATAATTTCCACTTCACTATTCTAGGATGCGCAAGGTATAGCCTATGAATGTGTTGTCTATTAAATTTTAAAAATGACCTAAAACATAACAAAGTTCTCTAAAACAGAGTCTGCCTTGACCATACAAAGGCTAATTCCGCTTAGCAAACAACTCTCTTGGATGCATACAAGGGAGGGTGTTACATTATCCTTTACCTTAACCCAGTCCATGAAAATTTCCTTCTCCACATCAATCATTTTGTCCCTATGATTCCACCCAAAACCACTTCCTCCATTTGGGCCCATCATTTCAGCAATGGCATTGTAGTGCCTTTTAAGCAGCTTGATCCTAGAAGTAATATGGGGAGTGCCCTTCAGTGTGCATCCAGGAATTTTCTCAGCCATCATCTTCTCTAAGTGATTAGGGAAGCCAGCCTTGAAACCATTGTCACCCTTCCACATTAAACCAGAGTTAACAAGGCATTCCACAAGGACCCTGTCTTCTTCGGTTGTCCAAGTATGGTTAATCTGTTTCGATGATTGACTATCCTTTTCAGCCATCTGCAACAAGTAATGGAAATAATATTTTGGACAATAAAAATAAACATTAAATGTCATGGAAATATATTAGGTGACAAAAAAGATTACATAATACAACCACATAATTGTTCTGAAATCAAACTTAGTACAACCAAATAGCCTGGCTTTAACAAAAAAATTTACTACAACCATATAATTGTTCTGAAATCAAAATAAGTCAAAACATGCAACAGGTTAGACATGCGTAAATGACAGCAAGACGAATCAGTCAACTTCAATTCCTCCACGTGTCAAACATCTGCTGTGCCAATTCATCCCTCCACCTTGTCCATGCATTTGATGACTCAACATGCATTATCATTTCATGTCCTTCAAAGTTGTCTTCAGCCACTGCATTGTCCACTGTATTATCCTCCAATGGGTCAATAGGCATTTCCTTCCTTATATGATTATGAAGCAAACAACATGCAGTGATAATCCTGGTTTGGGTTTTGACCGGGTAAAAGGACTTAGACCTTACGATGGCCCAACGCCCCTTCAACAACCCAAAACATCTTTCAATCACATTCCTAGCACCTGAGTGTTTCATGTTAAAAAATTCTTGCGGTGTCGTTGGTTGTGCGCCATGTCTCCACTCATTAAGATGGTATCTTGTCCCTCTATAAGGTGTAAGGAAACCTTCCCCATTCATATAACCAGCATCGGCCAAATAATAGTAACCTACGACAAAATGACCACTTCGTGAGCTAACTCGTGACTATAGAATTTACTACGTAAAGATATGTACAGGGAAGTTAGGCACATTTTCAAATTCCCAAATTTACCTTTAGGTACCCTTAATCCATTTGGACGAGAGATAGCATTTCTGAGAACCTTTGAATCTGCTGCTGAACCCTCCCATCCTGGCAAAACATAAATAAATTGACAATCCTGCGAACAAACACCCAAGACGTTCGTCGCAATGTCACCCTTCCTAGTGCGGTATCTTGGCTTATCAGCTTGTAAGGGATTCACCTTGATGTATGTCCCATCCAGAGCTCCGAGACAATTCTAAAAAACAATGACAGCCAATTACAAGACAAGACAATATATTTGACAAATGATATTGTAAATTACGCATCAAGACATTTGTCTTTTGAAACCCATACCTTGAACCACTTCCATTTGTCATCAGTTGAGTTTTCAAGAACGGGTTCAGGGCGTTTAAGTAGTACACTATGACACCTTAACACAGCCTGCAACACCTTGCTGAATTGTCTACTAATTGTTTCACCTGACCTCATAAACTGTCTTTTAATTATCCGATTTTTAATGTCATGAGCCAATATGTGAAGGAAGATTGCAACTTGCTCTTCTACCCCCATGTGTCTTGTTGGTTGAAGCATCCCAACAGTTTTCAATAAGTCACACAAATTATGAAAGCATCTCCTATCCATCCTTGTATTCTCAATACAAGCGGTGTCAGTAATATACATTATTCTATGCATATTAACTTCCCTGGTCGGAGCCCTACTGCAACAATCCCACTTAACTTTCCTCCTTGATCTTTTCCTTCTTTCCATATCAGCTAATAAAATACCATAAATTCTCACTAATAACATAGTGAGATGATTCAAAGATTGCAAATGACAAAGGATAACAATAACGACACTCAACTCCATTGCTTTGGTCATTGCCTCAATCTAACACAACAAGGTTAAAGTAATTAACATTAATCCAACAATGATGAACGAAGTAAAAGTATAAGAACACAATGAATAATACAAGAATTAGAGGGCATAAGGTTATAAACCAAACTAATGGTCATGATTGTAGGGTACTGTTAAACTCTACGATGCTTAATGTATGATACAAAAACTCCACCTAGATATCATCAATTTGAGAAACTCAACTTCAGGGTTGAAAAAAGCATGGGCAGATTGGAGGCAACAAACAATCAGCCTCCACACTCCATGCAATTAATAAAAAAGGCTTTGTTGTTCCACTCCATGCTGATTTTAATATAACACTTCCATTTAATATATATCCTTGACCACAACTATGATCACATGGGTTTGCCAATATAAATATTTCACCTTCGGTCAAATAACTTTTAAAGCTGTATAAATGGTCTTCCACAGGTATACCATTTCACGAAAAGTTCATAAAAAACCTCCTCGCTTGCTTTACGTAGCAGTAGCATTTGTAGTGATCCAGTTCCATTAATTAACTCACTATTATTCATCTCAAATATTTCATTACTTCGTTGGCTTTTATTGTTGTTTATGAGCTAATTGTCTGTTTATGTTCATTAGTTTTATGTCATTTGTTCATTAGTTTCTTGGCTTCGAGGGAACTGCATAAACCCCATTTCTAAAAGGTCAATGATGCAGACTCCCCAAAAAAATGTTTTGTTGTTTTAGCCTTTTTGGCCATAGGTATCCTTCTTTTATTTGGGTGTCTGGAGAGGGATACAAGAATAAAAGGAATAGTGACATATTATCCATGAGTTTTTGAGTTCAAAAAAATATTTATTCTCCAATTTCAAACAGTTTGGCAAATCTGAAGAGAGATTGGTTGGACTGGGTATACAGATTAGAACAGTAGCAACCCATTGACAACAACAGAGGAGTATCACAAAACTTACATTTCTAAAAAACTATATATTACCAACCACAACCCAAATATCTCCAAAAAAAATTTATCATCACACGATAAAATCATTATAGTCAAATTGGAAGTGTCATTATTTTACCTCAGTTATCTCACTTGCGAGTCCTTTGTGGAGAAAGCAAACAAATACCTCAGCACCTTCAACCGCTTCTACTTCGGAACATGAAAGAAGGGATCAGTGAGCAAACCAATGAAACAAGTCAGTCATAAATAGCAAAATGCAAAATGCAGCTCAGTTAGGGTTTCGAATATATCACAACCACTAAACCCACCTTCAACAAAATGCAAAATGCACATTCAAAAGCAAATAAAATCAAAAGGCCAACACAAATACCCACATCCTCACTCACATGCAAGGAAGAAGCTCAGCTAGGACAACAGAAAATGGAGGGAGAAATTGCACAACCACAAACTGCCTTTCTCCTTTTTCCACGAAACGTGCACTCCACCATATATATTGTCAATCCACCATCTAATCTTTCCGTACAAAAGTGGGGTTATTTTGGTAATCATTTTCGCGCTCAAGGATTCACTTCCCCGGGTAACAGTGAATCCTATATTTTCGATGGACAACTTCTCTCATCACTTTCCCATTAAATCACACAAAAAACAAAAAAATGGGACAATGAGATATCCGGCAAACTTGCGCTTTATCTGCAACCAAACATGGGTAAATCATGTTGCCGATCTCCCTATCCCAGGCAAACAAAAATAATCTGCGTACCAAACGCACCCTTCAAACCTAGTTTTCCACCCAAGCTTGGTTGTTTGACACACTATCTCCTTTTAGGCACGCACAACTATACTAATCTATATTTCTTAAGTTTATTGTTTTCTCCTTTTCTAAAAACCTTAATTTGAGATACAAAGCTATAAATCCATTTAAGGTTTGAATTTTAAGCTGTCCCAAGCATGTGCTTATCACATGTTCTCATTAATTAATTTTCTGTCACTAGCACGTTGGTGGTATACAATATTGTTCTTGCATCCCTATCTTTCTCACTTCTAAAGCATGTTAAGAACCACTACTTAAGTTCTATGCCAGAAGGTGATTTTCACTTACGTTAAGGTGACAAATTTCAACTTCTAACACTTTAGCTCAGTTGTTTTCTGCAAGTTACTCTATGGTTGATAGAAATTTCTTCTTATCGCTTCCTTTTATCAAATATAGTAAAAAATAATATTTTTATACTATCCTTGCCTTTATATTTATTAACACTCATATCCAACTTTTTTCTATTTTTGGTGTAGAACCATATTCTCCTCGAGCACATAAAAGTTCTCCTCAAGACCCCACAATCCAACCATAAGCTTTTTCACTTGTTTTCTCATTTACCCTCCTTTTTCTTTTCCTCCCTTACTCTTAACCTTTACTTCTTTTTCTTTCTTTCGAAAATAAGTATTTAGGGTTTGGATTTTGCTTTTAAAACATAAAATAATTATGAGTTTATTATTTCTCATGTTATAGGAGATAATTTTTATCTCCTACATACATATAAAAATTTATAAAGTCCATATTTTCTTTCTCTCTTTTTTCTCACATAGATCTCACACACTTTTATATATGTACAAGAAATAAATTTATCTCCTATAAGAAACAACAAATCCAATAATTATTATCTAAAGTCATAATGGACTATTTATAATTTCTTAAAAGAGTTTAAACTTTAGATTTACCAAAGAACTGATTATTTGAACAAATAATTAATTATTTGGACAAACAGAGAACATTAGGCTCTTCGATTCTGATAAATATATCACTTATTCTTTTTAATAATCAATTATTTATTCTAATGATCGATTAGACCTCACTGATAATCATTATTCTTAACAAAATCAGTTTCAGTTCTGGTTACTAACATAATGATTGATTGTTTTATTGTGAATGCCAACTTGTTTAAGATTTTGATCAGGCATTTCCAGTATGTTCGTATCATCAGTAGACTGTTTTTCCAAATTTTCTTCACCTTTTAATCCTTGAACAATATTTAAGTCTCCTAAATGCTCATGCCCACATTACTTATTTATTTTATTTTTTTAATTTAACATTGTAAAACTTGCAGAATAAAAGATACTTTCTTTTTTCATTATCCTGTGTCTTATCCGGACCATCATTTTTATAAATAAAAGTATTCTCAGCCAAGTTGCCATCATATATTTCAGCTCTGCTATACTTCAAACATTTCTACACATATTCCGCAAGCTTTTAGTACATGCCATTAAACTGTCCAGTATATAGCCAGGAGAAATGCTTATAACTTTGCCTATTGTTCAGTCTACTACTTCATAATAATACATTTGATGACTTACTCTTCATTGACCTCAATTCGTTAAAATTGGCTTAGATCTTGTGAACATTAAAACCTGAATCCTCTGATGTCAAATTCTCATTCCAATTCTCAAATTCTCCTCCACCAAACACTACTTGCTTGATCCCAACAAAACTATCACAAAACAAAACCAAAGAAAATAGATGGGATTAAAATAAACATCTAAGAAAAATAAAAAAATAAAAATACTAAAACTTTTTATCTAATATGCCAAACATGAGTACTAAAGCAAGGATAAGCTAGAGGAGCTGAACAAAAAATAACTCATCACACACACATACATGCATGCGTGTGCATATCAAATCATTTAGAGCAAGAGTGCTGAGAAGCAAGGACACTAACATGGGACTCATGAGATGACACAAACACACTCCAACACAACAAATTTTTAACTGTCCGATTAGGATTTGAAGAGTCATGTTGCATGCAACACAAATGTCCGATATTTTAATCTTTCCTTGAAATATTCGTGAGCACCAATCAAAATGATAATCTACAACTTCTATTTTCTAATATTGCTCATGCAAATTATCAAAAGAACTGTTCATCCTAAATGGCTTTGGTTGGTTAGTCCCCGTTTGTTTTTGAAGTAATTAATCAATAGAATAAAGCAAGTGGAGATCATACTCAGAGCTTATCTGTGTCAATGCATTTACCAAAACATCCAGAATCAACGGTTCATAAGATCCAATATCCACCCTGTTACATCACAAGAAGAACATATTAGTATTCGCACGTCAAATTACATCAACATGTATAACAAAGCATTAACAGAAAAGAATATGCAATTGGTGGTGCACCATATTCGAGCCAAGTTGTCTTGAACCTCAAGATCCCCAATGTTGTAAAATGTAGTTGGTGTCACATTTGCTCCCTGAATATAATCGTAACTTGGTCGTTTATCTATTGGAGACTGTGACAGCTGTAGTAATGATGCTAGCTCTATAAGCAACGTAGTCGTTTGAAAAATCCACCATAAAAGAGAGAGAGAAAGAAAACTTGGTATCCGTGGCAGAAGAGAAAAACTCACTTGCATATTCATGGCATTGCATCCACCAAGACGTCCAATAATGTGCCATGATCGTAAAGTCTGCAAAGACCCAAATTCAACAAAATTTCATAACATAGACATATGTGCATCATGGGGAATGTAAAACAAGTCATAGGACAAAGTTCCTTACATTACAAATTAAGGAGATGTCTTTTGCCAATGGAGCATTGTAAAATTCAAGCCATATATATGAGTTTGAAAAGTCAAATCTGGAAAGACCAGCATTAGCAGTAAGAAAAAAATAATAATTTTTATTGATAAGCAAGAAAAACAGAATATGTAATTATTGCACATGTGGAATACAACTTAAAGCAGAAAGCAATGAGTTATTATCAAATAAAACATGGTGATAGGAACCAAGTATGAATCGAACCAAGAATAGAGTGAGAAACATGTAATTTGTGTATATTTCACTGATATCAGTATCAATATGGGAAATTACAAGCTGATGGAAAAGAAAATACAAGAAAATGCAGGAAAATGAAATAAACCAATTCCAAAGATTTCGAGAGGTTCTAGTCTCTTCCAAGGACTAATCCAAGACTTCTCAACAATCCTGATTCCCCTCTCTCCCTTCCACTCTTAACTCCCTTTCCCCCACTCATGTTGTTACTACAACCTTACCCGCCAATCCACCATGATGCCATACGGTTCAAACATCATATGGTCATACACAACTATTTCAAGCATATAGAGAGGTGTTTCCTGCCAACCGGTCCAAAGGTAAACCTTATAGTAGCTTCAACTATAAGACTGCCAGAGTTAGATCTAAAGGCCATGGCCTCAATATATTGGTGACTATATACCACAAACTTTGTTATTCCTCATCATGTCCTTCCTATTCTAATTATCAACCCTCATCCTCTGTTATTCCTCCTTATAGTCCTCATCCTATGAAAACTAGATCTAAGCTCGCTATTATTTTATTGACTCACTTGGAACCTTCCACTCCTGAATAGTCTTGGTTGATCCCAAATGTTTGGCAGTAATACAATTATAATTTGGCAGTAATGCTTTAAAGGCTATTATGTGTAAATGAGTTTTTAAAGTAAAGGAAAACCTAGATTGTTCAATTAAAGTAGTACAAGGCCAAACAGAATATCTAACTTGAATTCTACCTTTGCTCTCAAGAAGCTAGGGACACTAGATTACCTCCTTGGCATTAAAATCAAGTGTTTTCCCACAGGGTCTATCTTGCTCACACAATTGAAATATATTAGAGGTCTCATCACTAGAGATCAACTAGAATGTTAATAAGGTATGTCAATTCATGCATAACCCCAAGAGGAGCATTGGAGGTGGTTAAGAGGATTCTACAGTACTTAAAGGGTACTATCACTCATGGTCCCTTGCTCAAGCCCACAGATGTTGGTAGACCTCTTGCTCCCACAGTATTTTGTGGCGTTGATGAAGCAAGTGACCCAACTGACAGGAGATCTACATCAGAAGCTTTCATTTTCCTTGGCCCTAATATTTTCCCTCAAGCTCCAAGAAACAAACTCTTGTGACCATATCCAACATTGAAGCCAAGTATCGTAATCTAGCAATTACAGCTACAGAGATCCTTTGGGTTCAAACCCTCCTCAAGGAACTTCGTATTCTAGTTCAAGTCCCGGTCATTTTCTGTGACAATATGAGTATTGTGGCTTTACCTCACAACCCAGTCTTACACACTTTAACCACGCATAATGGAACTTGACATCTTTATGGAGAAATGGTGCTAGACAAAAGCCTTCATGTTTGTCATGTTCCAGCTCTTGACTAGCTTACAATACATTTAACAAGGGCCTGTCTGCTCCTCGTTTTTGTGAGCTTCGAGACAAACTCATGGTCATGCAATTGATCCGAAGACCAAGACCTAGAGTTTGCAAGGGTGAACCAGAGATAATGATTTTGTATTGTGTATTGTTCTGTTTACTGTACTGTATTAGCATTTGTATCTTTGTATGTGTTCAATTGTATTGTATCTGTTGATACAGTTGTAAGGATCTATTAGTTAGCTGTGATTCAGTTAGTTTTTTGCTGTTAGTTAAGGACTATTATAAGTCTCTTATAAGTCAGTCCAGGTGTCAATCAGTTTAACAGATCCTCAGCTTCCTTTGGAAGCTTCCTCTAACACTATAAATAGATCTCTCAAGATTTAGAGAGATCAGATGCTAATATACAGAAACCTTCAGAAATTTTGAAGCTTTTCCTTTCTCTCTTTTTCTCAAATTTTCTCATAATTTCAATTAAAATGTAACCAGATCGCATTATACAGAAACCTTCAGAAACTCTGAAGCTTTTCCTTTCTCTCTTTTTCTCGAATTTTCTCATAATTTCAATTAAAATGTAACCAGATAGCATTATACAGAAACCTTCAGAAACTCTGAAGCTTTTCCTTTCTCTCTTTTTCTCGGATTTTCTCATATTTTCAATTAAAATGTAACCGGATAGCATTCTAGTTTCACTTCAAACTGTTCCCTGAACAAAGGCATAATCTAAACTTGTTTCAAGGCTTATTCCTATTCTACCTTACAAGTCTTGAAAAGGTAAGCTTGACTACTCAGAAAATCTCATGTCCATCTTAAATACATTGAATTCCACATTCAATAATTCAATTGTTTACATTACATTTTTCAAGGTTCACTTGTCAAGTCAGAGGATGCTCTAATACTGCTTGTTATAAGAATAATTTTACCACTAACACTAAATTCATATCAAGCATATCATACCACTTTGATCAATAGAAAGAATGCTTTGATGTTCTACATGCTAGTGGAAAAGAGAATATGAAAAAGAGAGAAATCCTAATCACTATACCAACTTACTAACAACAATAACTTCAATTTCTCCACTGTACATTTCTACAAATTCACAAAGATAAATCATTGCAACTTTGCAATAATTATTCATTACAAAAAAACCATGCAACCTCTCCCTCCCTCTTGGAAAAGCACATCTTATTGCTTGTCATTTCCAGTTCATTGTTGGGTACATAGTTTAAAAATTTAACAAGAGAGGTTACAAAACCAGTAAATTCTGGCACACCAGATTGAGGAGAAATGGATAATTCATAATAAGAAGCATGCAACTACACAAGAACAAACAACAGAAAACTGCATGATACAATCACCATATATGCATGGTTGAACTTACTTGTTAAATGACACGCTCATTGCTATTCCTGATCCAGTTTTTGTGTGAATTATATCGTTCCTTTTATTTCTTATTCTCTCTTCAATCTGCAATTCAATCAAGCTCCTTTAATTTAAATACAAATATTATCCCTTGGAATCAAAATTCAAAAGTAGCTTGAAACTGCTTTTCTTTAATTTTCAACAACTTGAAATGCAATGAACATCACCCTTAAAATAATGGAAACAACGTAAAATCTCCTCCTACAAACATAGAATCTAAACATAGAAAGAAATTGTCCGTTTACATGGCGTTCCAAAGTCGATTGTTTCGGATAGAGACCGTGTGTTTATGAGCATGTATTGGAAAGAGTTATTCTGGATGTCAGGAACTAAGCTACGTTTTAGTAGTTCTTACCATCCACAAACGGACGGACAATCCGAGGTGGTGAATAGAACGGTTGAGACGTATCTGCGGTGTTTTATTAATGGTCATCCTCGTGGCTGGGCTAAGTGGGTTCCTTGGGCAGAATTCTGGTTCAACACCTCTTATAATAGATCAATTGGCATGACACCATTTAAGGCTGTGTACGGGCAGGATCCCCCATCCTTGTTTCGTTTTGAAAAAGGAGGAACTCAAGTAGATGCATTGGACCAATGGCTGGCTGCTAGGGATGCAGTGGTGACTGATTTAAGACAAAATCTGAATAGGGCTCAGCAACATATGAAATTCCAAGCCGATCAGAAAAGAAGAGATGTTCAGTTTGCCATTGGTGACAGTGTGTTCTTAAAGATTCAACCTTATAAGATGCGCTCGTTAGCTAAAAGGATGAACCAAAAATTAAGTCTACATTTTTATGGGCCTTTTAAGGTAATAGCACGTGTGGGAGCAGTGGCTTATCGTTTAGAGCTGCCTTCATATTCAAAGGTACACCCTGTATTTCATATTTCTCAACTTAAACTTGTTGTTCAGTTGGTGTTGCCTATATTGCCGTTACCAAGTTGTTTGAATGATACATTGGAGCTGGATGTTCAACCTATGGCAATTCGGGATTCTAGAAGGTTGCTGAATGGGAAAACAGAAGTGTTGGTGCAATGGGAGACTCTCCCTGACTGTGACTGCACATGGAAGGACTTGGAGATACTCAAGCAACAATTTCCTTCTTTTCACCTTGAGGACAAGGTGATTTTTCCAGGGGGGAGTATTGATGGACCCCTAAGGCCTTTTAACAAATATTATACATACACGCAGGAGAACAAAGGCCCAAAGAAAAAGAGATACTCAACAGGCCCAAGTTGGTGACAGGTGCCCAAGAGAAGGAGGAAGCAATAAGGCAGAGCAAGGAAGCAACAAACAGCTGCAATTGCAATCAGTTATAAACAAGGCCACGTGGAGCGCTGTGAATGGAGAGGGTCACGTGGGAGAGGGAGCTGTGGTGAATGGGAATAATATAGACGGTTAGAGGAAAGAAGGAGGTCATTCTGGATGTTGAGAGTAGTGGTAGCACCTGGACTTGGTGGTTCAGAGTGGTGAGTAAGGGTAGAAGGTTATGTAATCGGATGAGTATGAGTGAGATATGCTTGGAGTCTGTATTTGCTATTTGTTAATTGGTCATTTCTGAGTAGTGTTAAGGGTTTCTTTTATCTTGTAAGGGTTGTGCCCAGTCAGTAGTAAAGAAGGCGTTGCTCTCATTTACTGTTCTTACTGTAAGGGAATTATCCCAATCTCTAATTAATGCAGTAGTTGATAAACATGACTTTCATTGATTCAGTGATCTTAAAATACTAGTGATATTCTTGATACTGTTATTAAATATAACTGGTGCCATTAACTACTCAATGCAGAAGTTATGAAACCATCAATACATCGTGTTACTTACTCTGGACTGTGCCTTTTGGGGATCATCTACAACACTCCCAAGAATTTCAGCAAATTCTGGATCTCTATCGTAGTCCTTCTCTTCCCTACCTGTATATACTCCTGGACCTGAATATCCACCACCATCATCTTCATCTTCTTGTACTTCTATATCAATGTCCTTTGCTTCCCTTCTTGCATGCTTTTCTTTCTTTCTTCTTCTCTCTTCAATCTGCAAATCAATCAAGCTCATTTGATTTCAACACAAATAATATCCCTTGGCATCAAATTTCAAAAGTAGCTTGAAGCTGCTTTTCTTTAATTTTCAAATAATTTTAAATGTAACGAACACCGCCCTTAAAATAATGAAACAAAATCAAACCCCGTCATACAAAGATAGAATCTAATACTCAATGCAGAAGTTATGAAACCATCAATAAATCGCGCTGCTTACTTTGGACCGTGCATTTTGGGGATCATCTAGAACACTCCCAAGAATTTCAGCAAATTCTGGACCTATATCATAATCATTCTCTTGCCTACCTGCATACGGTCCTCGACCTGAAAATCCACCATCATCATCTTTATCTTCTTGTACTTTTTCTATACCAAAGTCCTTTGCTTCCCTTCTTGGAAACATTCCTTGAGCCGGAAACCCACCATCTTCATCATCCTCAAGCTCCATATCTTTTTTAATGATATCCCAATCAAAGTCCTTGCCATTCAAATCTTCGCGGCGACTTCTAGCACTACATAAGGATGTCCATGTTCTGGTATATCTCGAGACCAGATGCAGAACTGTTGAAGATGGAAAGAAGATATTGTTATGGGATAAAGGTTTGGAGGAAGTAATGGTAGTGCAAGAAGGAAGGGGTCCAAAAGGGTGTAAGATAATCATGGGTTGTGTAAGAAATTCGTTAGGGATGATTGTATTGTTGTCTATCAGTTTAAAGGTAAGGCTAGCTTTGAACCTCTATTAACCTGCATCACAATGTTACAAGAAATGAATATACAACACAAACAAGCAAGAACTCCCAATTTGCGTAGTTCAGCATAATCATCAATAAACTATCAATTTAAACAACAAAACAGTTCAAAGGAGATGGTTAAAGCTTGGCCCATTGGAAATAAACCAACCAAAATCATCAAAATTTCAACTTTGTATTAGATGAACAAGCAACATAAAAGTAACAACCAACAAAATTGTGAAATTTTAGATAAAAGAAGCAACAGAGACAATGTTGCAGAATCTCTCGTAAAATCATGTTACTATAATCCTAAATACAACCTCATCTAGAAGAACGCAAGCCCCAAAAATTAACAAATAACACAATATGCCATGTTGATGAAACAGAAAGAGAAAGAGAGAAAAAGGGTCGTGAAAAATACAAGCTTTTTGAAGAAAGGGTCATTGTGAGCAAAAGAGTGAAAGATAAGGGAAGGGAAAAGGAGAATGAAAGCACCATTGGTCTCAACAAAGAGCACGAAGGCATGGCAAAAGTTTGGTACTCACCGAGGAAGAGGATGGTAGTTGTGTACACTGAGTTGGTGATGAACTGAAGGAGGAAGAGAAGTAGGCGTCTATGCGTGGCTCAGGCATTGAAATTTTGAAAAGAGATAGCATACTATTAAGTGGCATGGAAATTAATCCCCATTGATTATAATTTTATTAAATTTATTAAAAATTAATAATTAATTAACGGGTATAATTTAATAATTTTCAATAAATTATTATTATTAGATTGATAAAAAATCAATAGTATTAAATTGATTGTAAGAGTAGTAAACTCTTATGGTGGTAAATATATCATTTTCCTACTAATAATTAATAAATTAAAAGAAATTAATATATTAATTATAAGGATGGTTATATTGATAAAAAAATTTTACAAACTGTGGTATATCTTACCTGTAAGACTCCACTAAAAAGTATTAGGAGTGTTCATCAACCGATTCAAACCGCGGTGACCGAACCAAAAAATCGAAAACTGAATAAACCGAAAATCGAAAAAAAAACTGCAAATTTTAATTGGATTGGATCATTTTTTGGATTGGTAGATGAAAACAGATCCAATCCAAATTGATCCAATATATTAATTTTCATCTACCTACTTGGGTCTTTCCCTAATCATAACCCAAAAAATTTTAAACTCAAGACCCATTAACCCATCAACTAAACTCAAGAAAAAACCTAGTCACATCTCATCATGTAGAGCTTCATATCTCATTATCCAAAAAAAAAATTATATTACCGTTTAGTAATGCTTTTTGTCTTTAAAAAAAATTACAAAGCTAATATATACAAAAGATGTTATTTGCACAATAATCATAAAACAAATTTTAAGATTTTCAAAAAGCTGAAAACCGATCCAATCCAAACCGAAAAAATTGGATTGGATCGGATCGGATTTGAAACAAAATCTAAACCGAATGGATGATTACATGATCAAACCGAAGGGATTGAATCAGATGATTTTTGCTTCCAAAACCGATCCAATCCAGACCGCGAACACCCCTAAAAAGTATCTTGCCCATAAGACATAGTGTGGTTTGTAAATAAAAATTGTAAATATAACATTTTCCATTAATTATTATTGTTATTATTATTAAATATCAAATTATTTTATTTTTGCATAGAAAAAGTACAAGAAGATAAAAAATTAATAAGTGCAAACCATAATAAAATTTATTTATCCTTATTCAACTATCACTTAAAGTACAAACTCTACTTATTCGTAATAACAAGTTTGTAGAGTTTATGCCTTTTTTTTATCATCGAAGAGTTTATACTTTAAGTGGTGTTGGCTGAATCAGAAATTATTCGTAGCTTACAAGTGGTGGTGGGTGAATCAAAAATTAGTTTATAGAGTTTGTACTTTAAGTGGTAGTGGCTGAATCACAAAAAAAGTTTATTCATAATTTCACTATAATTAATTAATATTTTTGTTGTTCTTAATGCTATAATTATTGTTAATACATTGGGTGTACACAAGATGTTACACAAACCATAGTGCTTCAAGTTTTATAACCACAATTTGAGAGTGCGAACCTATTAATATACCATTCTTGTATTGAAATTGAATTATCTATATATATATAAAGGAAACCCATTTATTGGAAAGTCAGCTGATGTGTCACTATCTGCTTAATTCTGAAATTTGTGTTCACACTACATGGCATCTGAAAACTTTCATTCTTTGGTAAATTGGAAAAAAATATTTCTTTTAAAAATTCAAATTCTTTTTAAAATAAAAAAAAAAATTCATTTGTGGTGGCAGACAAGTCATTGAATGTCCCAATGTTGTCCACCTTGGAATTACTCAGCCCTTTTAATTGCTTTCTACCTTGGAATTGAATTGCTCAGCTGATTTAAAATTCTAATTTTGAAATGATTTCAAATTTTGAATTTAAAATATGGATGGTGGGAAGAGATTTGGAAAGTTTTGGGTGGCACTCAGCTAATTTAATCTCTGACTGCTTTTCTTTTGTTGCTTGCGTTTATAAAAAGGAACATTGTGCATTGTTATTTCGTTCTTTTGTCCAGTCTACAATTTTTGCTAATTGTTTCTTTGAGAAGAATAGCTTCTTTTCTTCTTTTTGTCTTCCGAAACGAAATGTTTTAAATTTTTTCGTCTCTGTTGTGATTTTAAATTTGTGTCTGTTGTTATGATTTTTCGTTTTCGTTGTTTGAATTTTGGCTTTCACTTTTTTTGTAGGGTGGAAGGATCCATGCTACTGTCAAATGATCTTTGCAGGTCCGAAAAAAATCTGTGACGGAGAGGTGTATTTTATGGTCCAGACTCTACAATGTAATGGATGCACTGTTATGAATGACTGATATAATGTATTAAGCTCTAAAATGCTTCTACATCTCTCTTCTTTTAATTCATTTATGTTATTGACTGTAATGTGAACTGTACATATTACATAAGAGTTGTTTGATGAGGATCTATTCTCGGTGAATATAACATTCTGACTGCTTCTTCTTCTTTGGGTGCTGTTATACAGACATATGATGCATCTTCAAATGTAACTGAGAATATAAACTAACAGCAGTGCTCTCGCTCATCTTTTGTCTATTTTATCAGGATGTTGGCTTTTGGCTGGAGACTATAAATCTTGGTAATTACCGGAAATTTTTTAAATAAAATGGTGTTAATGGAGAATACCTAGAAGGAATGTCTATGTTCACGACTGAATAGATCCTTCGATTCATTAGACGTTGCCACATGAAGTGGGGAGACTTTATCACATTGTGCAAGGAATCAAGACGAATTAAAGGTTTCTCTCTCTCCCTTAAGCAGTAAACAGATAATGACATGCCAATAAACTCTCATTTGATTTTTTATTTTATTTTTACTAATCTGTTGTCTGCTCTTCATCCACTGAGATATGGCTTGATCATCGTTGTTGTAACAATCTGTTTCATGCCATTTGAACAATCTAAGGAAACATGAATATACTAGATGAAAGATTAAACTGGAGGTTTAGTATTGGTGAGATATATCTTGAAAATGATATCATGCGTCTGTTTTCGGTACAGTTGTCACTTCAATACAAGCAACCATTAACAGGTTCTCATCATGAGGCATAATTTTCTGACTTTGTTATGCAATATTGCAAAGACAATTTATGAATTATGAATTTGTAAAACAGCGGTATAAGTTTATGTCAATATTTATGAATTATACAATACAACACCTGCATTGCATTGCAAAACTTTGTACCAAATTTTTTTTTTAATAGCAAACAATAAAAAAATGCATATCAAAATATTCTATCACTATTTTGGATATAAGTTTATGTCAAATCTTGACTCTGAAAAATGTTTTCTTTTAACTAGCGGTAAAAAATTTCCATATTTTTTGAATAATAAATTATTACATTTAACAAAAATTTAGAATATCATTATATTTCTTCATAATAAATGGAACTTTCTTCAAATTATAACTGATCATTTCTAATAATTCCATTTATAATTAAATTTCACAGTATGTTATACTTAAGCTAATTTATTTATTTGTTATTATCGATATTTGTTTTATCTTTGTGATTTTTTATTTAGATTTAACTATATTTGAAAACCTATTACGGTTTGGGCCTTTAATTTTAAATGTAATTTCAAAATCAGAACTGAACATTAAAAAAATTAAAACAATAGGGTTTTGTGCCTTGTGTATATTAGTAGTCTACATACACTTAAAAAAAAATCAAAAGTCTTTTTTTTTTCTATGATGTTATATTTGTCTATTTTTTTCATGGGTAATTATTAGCCCTATTAATGTTGCATAAAAAATTATTGTAAAATAACAAAATTATTTATATTGTAAAATAAATTCGAAATTTGGAAATAAATTAAATGAAAAATTATGTGAATAATTTTTGGTGACAGACAACTCATTCAATGTCCGACTGCATTCTACATTAGAATATCTAAAATTAATAATAACTAAACTCTTCTAAATTTTGAATTTATGTTTAAATTTTAATTTTGAATTTTAATTTTTAACTTTGTAATGGGGGAAAAACGTTTGGAAATTTTTTTGTGGCAGACAACTCATTTAAAGTCCCACTACTTTTCTTTTGTTGTATATTATGAGTAAAAAATCTCTCTACTTTTCTTTTGTTGTATATCCCATTATTATTTTCATGGGTAATTGTTAGCCCTATTAATGTTGCATAAAAAAACAAAAACATTAAAATTTTTTTTGTAAAATAACAAAACTATTTTTATTGTAAAATAAATTCGAAATTTGGAAATAAATTAAATGAAAAATTATGTGAACAATTTTTGGTGGCAGACAACTCATTCAATGTCCCACTCAATTCTACTTTGGAATTTCCAAATTAATAATAACTCAACTCTTCTAAATTTTGAATTTATGTTTAAATTTGAATTTTTAACTTTGTAATAGTGGAAAAAACTTTTGGAAATTTTTTTGTGACAGACAACTCATTTAATGTCCCACTATTTTTCTTTTGTTGTATATTATGAGTAAAAAAGATCTCTACTTTTCTTTTATTGTATATCCCACTATTTTTTCATGAGTAATTGTTAGCCCTATTAATGTTGTTTAAAAAAAACAAAAAAAATTAAAAAAACTGTAAAATAACAAAATTTTAAATTTTAAATAATTTTTATCGACTATAAATGTAATTTTATAATATTAAGTATTTTATTGTTTAATCTATAATTTCCTATTAAATTCAAATTTATTATATATATCTTTTCCCACTGCATAAATATTAAATGCTGAACTCTTTTTTCACATATCAATCTCACATAATTTTTCATTTAATTTATTTCCAAATTTCAAATTTATTTTACAATATAAATAATTTTGTTATTTACAATATTTTTTTTAATGTTTTTGTTTTTTTATGCACCATTAATAGGGCTAACAATTATCCATGTAAAAATAGTGGGATATACAACAAAAAAAAAGTAGAGGTCTTTTTTACTCATAATATACAACAAAAGAAAAATAGTGGGACATTAAATGAGTTGTCTGCCACAAAATTTTTTCCAAAAGTTTTCCCACCGTTACAAAGTTAAAATTTCAAATTCAAAATTTGAATTTAAACATAAATTCGAAAT